GAGATGCAATTATTATGTACAATTTTGTGTAATTAATAAATTTTGGGTGTGCGATACTTTTGTCCAGGTAGTGTATATTGTTTTTCATGTTTTATATGTTTTATCTAATTTCCATTATCTTTACGTTAATGTGGGAGTTCAGATAAATGGTTATCTTACTAAAAAAATCATTTATGTATAAATGACCTCTATAACGGAAAGAGTATTAAAAAATTAATACATGTACAGCTCCAGTCATCTAATCCCGACAAATTTTATATTCCTTTTTTTCTTTCTATATAGGGATTACTTGGTAAAACTTATCGTAATTCGATAGATTGCATCTTAAACTTTCAAGTTACGATTTTAGAATAAAAATTTATTTAACAAAAAAAAGTTATAAGCAATTTTTTAATGCAAAATTTTCTTATATTACATATAGAATTTTTAAAACTTTGGCCTTATCGTTATTATTAGAAGATAAATTTGAACAGATTAAAGAACTGCAAAGGTTACACAATATCATGTTATTATCGTTCTGAATACCATTACTTATAAAACAATTCCAATAATATGAATGTTATATGCTGTTAAAGATATCATATAGTACTTATTCAATTCTTAATAATATTAATTAAAGATTATTTTTTTGTAAAATTTTAATTTTTACCGGGATTATTTTTTATGCTGGTCAAATAATCACATGATTGCAAAATTATAAAATTTGTCGACTGGCGCTGTACAAAAGGTTTAATTTTTTCATTGACATCGAATATATCGGTATTACAGATATACTTTGCCGAATCTGAATCGGTAATACAAACCCGGGTTCAAATTATGGGGTCTTTTATCTTGGGGGGGTAGTTTATGCGGCGAATTACGGTAATGATTACATGTATTTGCCGCTTTTTGAGTGATCTCGTAACGAAGTTAAATTTTTAAAAGTTGATGGAATTCAACTTTCCCGCCTACTGAGATGCCAAACGTCACATATCGAAAGACTAAACCGAATAGCTAACCGATTGGAATCTTACACAGAAATTTAAATACCGAGTACTTTAAGTTCGACTCCTACGTGTCTATATATATGATGTCATTATTTTTATTATACAAATATAGCTTAAAATCTGAATAAATAATTTTTCCCTATTTACTGTAGAGTACTAGTACTGTATACAATACCTGTAGTATCGGTATTATTCCAGGAAAAATTCAATTAAAATAGAAAGAGGCAATATTTGGGAAGGAGGAATTGTATCAAGCCATATTACGTAATCATTCTCGTTATGGTTGACTTTATCGGATTTTTTATTATTAATACGGGTCTAGAAATAACGTGGCCTGTTTCTTATTACTAGAAGCACGATATTTCCTTATAAGATTTGAGCAAATTATTTTCTGCAACCGTTAATACAAACTCGAGTTTTGTTTTACAAATCAAAACTTTAATGTACAATTATTAGGGAACAGGCTTAAAATTGAAACCACATCTGAACGCTCACTTTTTACTAAAGATGACAATTTTTTGCATAATTGCTAGACTCTGAAAACTTTTTCTCCCAAATAAAATAAATCATACCATAAATTCCACCACAGATAAAAATCAATACCACCGAGTTAAAGCATTTTTTTTTAGTATTTTCGACTCTTATCATTATTTACTATACAGTATAATATCGATAAGTTAACGGTACTGTAAATCAAAGGAATTTTACACTAGACGGAACTCCATAACTCAGTAGAAAATTTTTTTTTAACGAAACGTTAAATTAAAAAAAATAATTTTACAAAAATTTTTGCGAAAACTATAAATACTCTAAATTTTAAAAAACATCGATCAAATTCGGAAAAGGCTCACAAAAGTTTTGTCCTTGCGTTCTCATCGTGCTGATTTTTATCAGTTCGTGAATGGATTAATCGTCTTGACCTAATAAACAACAAATGGCTTAATAATTATATAGTTAAGAAATTGAAATAAAAAACGGTAAAAATAAACACCATTTCGATAGTTTTCTTTTTATTATTTTCTCTTTATCAACAGTCAACAAAAGCGCCGTCATTAACATGATCATTTCGAGTTCATCCACCATATACATTGTACATAACCGTCCCTGACGGAACACGATCGATCTGCTGCATTTTTCCAGATGACCAAGTGACCAAATTTCTTTTTCGTTACATAGATTACGAAACACCGCTTGGAATATGAAGCGATTGCCTTCACTAATCCATCTAAAAAAATCATTTAGCATTAATCATGTGGTATAGGCTATTCTCTAGATAGAATTTTAATGTAACATTGAATATATGCGCACAAAATCATTCTCAAATAAAATTATCTGAAAATGAACAATACCTCCATTCACTACCTCCAAATAAAAATTTCATCTTTCGCCTCCTACTGAATTTACTTTTAGTTCGCTCTAAAACCACATGTTCATTATTAATCTTTACGAATTTCTTCTCGATTGTTTCGATTATTAGACGTTCGCTCCAGATCTGAGAGTCGTCGTATTCGTCAGCAGGATTTGCAAGGTAAAAGTGAAACATTCGACCATCGTCGCGGATTATTTCATTTTGAAGGATTTTGTAGTGGGATTGTTTTTTGATTGCCATCTATTTATTTATTATAAATTATTGTTTTTCTCTTCGATAAATCGAATAACGATAAGAATAAACTAACCCAATGGAATAGGATTTACCATTTCGGACATTGGATCAAGTCGAGAATATCTTGGGGGCAAAGAAAATGATGGAGTATATCGTGGCAAACGATCTTGAAATGAGGTCAATGACGAACGTACGTAACGGTGATTATTAGAATAAGACGTCGTTTCGTTTTCTCGGATTAATGAATGATGATGTGGTGTGGAGATATTTTGAACCTTTTTTATGATCAATTTTAGTTAGACAAAGTTTCATGCACGTATTTTTTGAATTTCGGCAGCTTAGAAAATACTTCGCCAACAAACCATTTGATACGATGCTACATTCATATATAAAAGAACAACAAATATAAGGTTTAAATGATTTCGTGTTAAAAATAATTTTTTTAAATTTATTAATAATATATAGAGGGAATCCCTAAAGAAAGAGATAACAAGTGTTCAGTTTATATATTAAAAAATCTGATTAATATAATAAAAGTGACAATAATGATATCATATTCTTCAATCAGCGTGATCGATTCGATTTGATTGATATCGTTCGTTTTTTTCTGTTTTGTCCAGCTAGAAATGGCGTAAAATTTCCATGTAAGTATGTTGTAATTTATTTGATCACCTGGGATCAAATAAAGCTAATTTTTTAATTTGCATTGATTTAAAGTGATTTATTCAAGAGTAATAAATAAATACAGTATATACATGTATTTATAGATCATATATCGATCGATATGCAGAAAAACGCAATGCAATCGTAATCAAATAAACAAAAATCTATAATTTTGATTTATTCTCTGTGTCTTTTCCCGACTGAATTGTATCATCCGTCATAAATTTATCCATTTTTTCCGCATGTTTTACCGGATTTACTGTTGAATCTTTGAGTTGCTGTTCGATGAATCTTTTGATCAGTAATGCTAATTTTCAAAATTAAAATATTTGACATTAATCGAGGTTCTTAATTAAAAGAAGAAGAAGAATAATAATAAATAATACGTTACCAACTTCATCCGGTTTCTCCATGACAACCTATACCAAAAAAGATTCAATAAATAAACAATAAAACAAAAAGTTCATTATTATTATTTGATCAAGTAAACAACAAACATACTAAATGTCCAGCATCCGATACTACAGCTAATTCACCAAAAGGTAATTTTGACGTATTCAGTTCTCGAATCTCTTGAGTGCTACAAAATCACATTCCAAAAAAATCTCAAAATCAAATGACATAATCAAATAAAAACCAATAATTAATTACTTTGTTGTAGATTCTTCGCCGGCAATATACAAAACGGGAATTTTGATACTCGATAGCATCTCGAAACAACCAGCGACCAAGGGCCCGTTGGCTGTAAATCCATACTATGGTTATGAATTATATCGTTTAATCAAATATATCATTTGTATTGACAAGCCAAATTTAAGCTTATAATACTTGCATGTTCTTGAAGCCTTGGACATTTCAAAGTTACTTTTCCGGTTGGTAGTTCACGTAATCCGTGTTCCTATAATTTGACATCTCATTTAATTTTATAACGAAAATGGAAAACAAAGCCTAAAAAACAAATTTTTTTATCATGAATCACAATATGAAGTTCAAATGCATGTGAATTCCATTCTTTGTAAAGTGGTTTTGGACGAAGAAACTTGCTCGCTTCTTCCCTAAAAATTATATGATTTGAAGAGTCAATTCTTTCCCAGTTTTCAAACCATATAAAAGAATAAAAAAAATCACCTATTTGTCCAGATATCTTTTCTTTTATTTGCCCAAAGATATCCAGACTTTATATTTATATAAGCCGGAAAAATCACCGGATCAATGACGACAACTGACGAAAATGTTCCAGGGCGTAAATTTTCTGCTATTATCCTTATTAAAATACGAGAGTCAATAATGAATCGACAAAAGATTGCAAAAATAAATTAGTCCACATTTACATGCTAGATCCTCCCATCGAGTGTCCAACACCAATTAGAGGCTTTTGTAACTTTGCTTCGTCTATCACACTTAAGATATCAAGCGCATAATCTTTCCAGCTAACTGATTAGCATTAAAAAATTTGATATCTTTCATATTTATCGCGAAATCAAACCATCGTAATAAAAATTAAATACAGACAGGAATCCGGTAAAAACGCTTCATTTAAAACAGCACTATCACCAGAATTATAACAATCCATTGCCCACAACTTTATATCCCAAGAATCAAAATGATATTCTTGCGTTAACTTTTTCAACACTGGTTCCCAAATTTCTTTATGAAAACCATTTGCGTGGGCGAATAATAATGTGACTTGTTTTTTTTCTTGTTCCTTTCGCTGTTGCTCTTGTTTTTGCAACATTTGTTGATCCGTTAATAATACCGTCTCGTCAAATTCGACTTCATATAAATTAGCTGCTATCTGCAATTTTCCACTGTTCTTGGGCGGAACGTGTCGTTTCTTGGATGCTGCGAAAACGTGTGATAAAACTTTAAGAGCGGCCTTTTTTTTTGCGTTTAAAACCATCATTATTGTAATTGATGGTAAGAGGAAATTAGGATGAGTAATCAAGTTACACTTTGATTAACCCTTTTTATTTTGGCTAAATTACTTAACCGGTCAACGCGCATAAGTATTCTACATCTGTTCTCTTTTGAGATATCGTTATATTTTTTTATTGAACACTGGAATTGCTATGTAGATAAAATATCAACACATATCGTGTACATAGTACATGCACATGTACTATGTTCATAAATAAAAGTTATCTTTAAACTAACTATATTGACGCTCAAAAACGCAATCTCATAAGCACGACTAACGAAATCCGATATCGTAATAGTTTGGCACTCCATGTTATATTTTCGGGGTGTCGTTCATTCGTTCGGATTTCGTTCATTCGGGATGCCATTTATTCGGGATTTCGTTAGTCGTGCTTATGAACTGTCGGAAATGTATTTCGTATCGGATCTTACTTTTTTATCTTTTCGAGAGTCTCTAAATTTTCAAGATTTGTATGTTTTTCGAGAGAAACGTCACAAAACGTAAAACATCTTCAAATTCAATATGACCTCTAATCTATTTCGTTTTATTTGATGTAGCACTTGAAAAATAGTCACAGACCAAATGATTATATCAAATTTGAAATATTATGTGTATTATGTTGCAGGGTTTATTTTCTTATAAAATAAATAGATAAAATTGGTCATTATGTTCTTTAAGTCTAGCGAAAAAAGGATAAATTCGAGAATCTGAGTGGGAAGTGAGAATCTAGAAAATTCTTCGTATCTATATGATAATTATGAACTATTGAAAACATGGAATAGCCATTTCTCGTATTATAATATTTGAATTTGAAAAATTATAAAAATAAAGCCCTCATACAGCAGCCTGCGTTTCGGGAACCGAAGTGAACAGGGTGTTGGTCTGTGCGCCGTATCATGACTATACGTCTCAGATTTCGTGCAAGTGAGAAAGGTAGCTATTATCATGATACCGAGTTTTAAATTCGTACTCTTGTGATTACCTCTCGTCGAGTCATAGAATTATGTATGAGTTATGCTAAGTTGATATTTATATTGGAGGGATGACTATAATCAATTCCATAAAAATATTCATTTCATCAGTCATTTGCATTTTTTGTAACTTTGGTTGTTTGCCAAATATACAATTTATCTACTTGTCATTTTTTTGTTGGTACTTCCGGAAATCATCAAAAAAGTGGAGTTTTCTGACATTTTGGTGACGCTAGATTACTCTCAATATGGCTTAGGGCAGATTAAATTGTTCGCCATGACGGTTACATGACAAAAAACGCCACCGACATGATGCTACAAGCATATTTGCAAAATATTCTTGGAAAGAATATTTCATGAAGAATATTTATAGAGAATATATTGAGATATAAATAATTATGATTGTATCTGAAAATGCCCCTAAAAAATGGAACGAACTGTTTTTAATCTAGAAATAATTATCTTGTATAAGGTTAAAAAGAAAACCTAACGCTAACCGATCACTATCATTTGACTATTTAATTCACGCATGACTTCATGATTCCATCCAAATATCGAATCCCTCCCTCCAAAACACTTGAAAAATATTAATAGAAATGGTGTAAATTATATTAGAATTTCTAATACAACTCACACCGTTTCTATTGCACTCACCCACATGCTTAAATGGATCCGATGATCAAGTCACAATATGTAACTTTTATAAAAGAGATCAGACAATATGTCGAATTAGTTATTCTCCATGCAAAATACCCTTTATAGTATACCCACCCTCTTTTTTTTACTAATTTTCTTTGTTTATTAACTTTGCACGTGTTTAAAATGTAAGAGACTCGGGATATTTTGCACAGAAAATACGATTTATTCAAAGCATAATTCAATTGGCAAAATGATCGCAAAAAACTTTATTGATATACGCACGAGGACATTTCATATGATATATTCGCGCAACTTTAGGTTGGCATTTTCCGAATCACCAATATTCGAATAAGATTTCGAGTCTTGAAGTTAATATACGTATAGAATAGGAATGCGCAAATTTTTGATCAGCCGGGCAAAAATAAAATCTTACACTAAATATGTATTTCTCAAAAACAATAGTTTCCTATCTTAGGTCATATACGATATGTCACGTATCATAATAAAAATTAATATAGCACAAATTTTTACTACTCGTGATTTATCCGGATTTGTAAAAAGAGTTTGATATAAATAACGATAAGGAATATTATTTGTTTCTTATTTTTCCATGCGGATATCTCATAGTAGGGCGTTTTTTAAAGGATAGTACTGATGGTGTAGTGTATTTTTTGAAGTTCATGTTCGTATTTTTTTCAAACGATTATTAAAAATAACTTGACATTGATTCAACTTGCGCTTTTTGGCAAGTGATTCGCGTGCATCTTTTGGTTATAATTACGTTTAAAAAGTTTAGGCATATTCGAGTTAAAAAATTCAGCATTAAAACTAGAAACTACCATAAAATTTGATATAAAATACGACAAAATGTATTTCTTGGAGGTTAAATTTTCTATTTTGTTAACAAAAGCCAAAATTGTTATTTTCTAGCTTAGCCATATGTATCGTTAACAAAAGCGAAGCTCTTCTAATACAACAATTAAAAGCATCTTACTAGTTAAATAACTTAGATTGTAATTTCCTTTTGTTATAACATACTAATTGTTCACTGCAAAAAATTACTAGAAAATGTGATGAAACAATTTTCGAATACTAATCTTTGGCTAGTAACACTTAAGATTTGTCGTTAAATTATAATAATAACGATAATTTATGCAGCACCCCAATATGGTGATGTGTAATTTGATAATTGAATTATTTTGTTCCAGGTCAATATATTTCAAATTTCGACATTAGTGGGTCCAAATGCCTAATGTACTGTCTAAACAATTGCGTAATGGTGATTGTCGAGATATAACTGCAACGAGACGTATTAGTATCAGTATTGATTGTTTTGTTTTATTGTTATTAGAATTTTTTCATTTATGAAGATACCAACTACGTGTGCATAGCTAATGTAATGAGATTTAAATTGTCTTTCTCGTTTTGTACCTTTTTTTATTTTATGTTATCTTATTCGCTTTATTTATACTGACGCAACTTATCGATATTTTTATCATGTTGAGGGATTCCAAATGTCTTATCGTTATAAAATCTCAAGAAACTAAGACTAAAATTTGGAGATTTCTAAATGTGAATTACATTTTGCAACTTTCACTCAATATCTCTTCATTGTTAAAAAAATGTTCATCACTCATTACATTTCGATGTCAATATAACATACGACTTCAATCGAATCTCTACGACAAGCTCCGAGCGTTTCCTAATCAATATATAATTTAATTAACGCACGCGTAAACTATCGATATCAACAGTGTTCCTAAGTTCAAAATTCGAAATTGAACTGAACTCGAGCCAGTCTTGAACCAGAACCAGGCTTTTTTGAGGCTCGATTCTGTTCGAGCTCTAGCTTGTTGTGCGATCTTAAGTAAGTTGTAACTTACAGTGGCAATCAAAAATAGAGCAAAATTCAAATGAAAAGTTTCAAATTAATGTATCTCCTTTAGATTTAAATATATTAAAACATGATTGATATGATTAAATGATACAATCCATAGTTTATCATGTTATAAATTTTAATGTATATTATTTATTTAAATTTTATTTTTGTGTTGCATTATATTTGTTCTTTCTGTACAAAATAAAAAATTGATAAATAACCAATTTTTTAAAAACTAACTATTTTCGATTTGTTTACCAACCTTGTATGGCACTCATGGGCCTTTATTGTATCAGAAATTCTTTTTGGCATAGATTCAATGAGACAGGTGCATGTCTCAACATCCACGCGTCCTGAATTTTCTTTCACAATCCCCCTTCTCTGAAATTGATAACATAAATGATAAAATTATTAGTAATATTAATACTTATTAGAATATAATAAAATATTAAAATCAAAATTTTTTAAAAATAATCATAATAAATTAAACCTTTTGTGAATTTACAAAATATATTGCCATAATTTGAATTTTTATTAGAGTTATAGCTTAAGTCTAAATTATAACTTAATTTTTTAATGTTAGCTAATTTAAAATATATAATTTGATTTAATTATAACTTAATTTTGATGGTAATCAAAATTATTTAGTGTTTCTAGTTTAAAATTATTTTTTTTAACATGCTTCAGATATTATTTATCAAAATTTTGCATGCTTTGCATGAACTATGGCATAATTTCTTAATGCTAGCCAAAATTATAATTTTTATCGAAATTTCATTTTCTGATCAATCAGATATCATTTCACGTGAATTAGACCCCCTAAAACAAGTGTAATATACCAAATTTATACATTAAAATCCTGCGACTTAACCTGAATAGGTAATTAAACGTGTTTATTTGTTCAAAATATACGAATTGAGAAACTTGGAGTGGAATTGAGCAACTTGGGGTGGGGCGGATTTTACGGAACATGCTTATAAATACATCGTACATGTATAATCATTTAGCAACTTCAAAATTCAGCATGAAAAATCTCTTAAACTTTGTTTTTGAGAAATACATATTTAGTGTAAGATTTTATTTTTGCCCGGCTGATCAAAAATTTGCGCATTCCTA